AAAAAAAAAAAAACCAAAACAAACAAACAAAAAAGTGCCGATGTACAATTTGAAAAGTTCCGCGTCAGATACTTTTTTTTTTTTTTTTTTTTCGATTTCGTATTTGGTGTACGCTGAAACTTTTGTTTCCAACCTTTTGTTGCTTCCTTGCTGTTTTTCTTTTCTCCGAGTTGAGGGTGACCCGTTTCCGGCGACAGCGGTGTCGCAATCGAGGCAAGAAGAAAAAAAAAGCGGAACAATGAAACCAAGTCCGAGCGTAGCACAATAGAACCTCTGCGCCCTTGACGACGCCTGGCGGGACGGAAAACATTTCTTGGGCGGCCCACATTCGCCAAGAGACTCATTCCGAGCTCGCAGCAGACGTCGACTTCCGCCCCAGTCGACTTTCAGCGGATGTGTGTAAGGCCGGTAAGGCCCTCTGTGGACGTTTAAACCTCCCCTCACAACTTTTTCTTCTTCTTTTGATTTTGTATTAAGGTTTTCTTGTTGTTTTTTTTTCGTTTATGTGCGTTCCCTCGTTTACGAACGATGTGTCAACTTGTACCAAGTGGTTGTGAAAATTAGCGCGATTGAATGGTTAACTTTATAAGGGATTTATAAAAGCAGTAAACAGCAACCCAGCCATTATCGAGAGGTTATGAAAATGAGCGCGAATTAATGGTAAACTGTAAAAACATCCGTCATTAACAAGTGGCATGGTATCATTTATATGTGGGCGGCTATGAAAATGAACTAAAACTGATGGTTAACGCAAAAAAAAAAAAAAAAAAATCCAAAGCGGTAACACAGCGTTAAATAGACGAAGGACACAGGGAAGGTACATGCACAGGGCCTGTAGATCCATTTATTCGTCTCTTTTCAGCGCTGTTTTACCTTTTTATAATTATGTACCAACTAGACCAACATAATGCCTTGTTGCGATTTCCAAAACCAGTATATGGCATCCGAAGAACAGTATCTAATAATAAAAAAAAGAAATCTTAAGCGACAGGTGTTTTGATTGTTTATTTGTTTTCTCTCGGGTTTGAGCAACTTTGCATTTTCGTTACTGGCGAATAATTATCGATACTCTTCGGTTGCGATGTTCTGTGAGATTCACCGCATTAAGAATCCCGGGAAGCGATCGCCAAAACGCGCAGTGCTGAGCGCAAACGCTCCAGCAATGCGGACCCGTTTCCCAGCCAACAAACAAAAATTGTAACATACATACACAAAAAAGAGAGAGAGAGAGAGAAAAGACAGACGTGAGCAGATTTGTACGGCTCGTTCCAGTTTCCGTAGAAATCACGGTACGCAACTCAACCCTGTTCACAGATGGCAGTCTCGAGAGAAACGAAAACTCGCTAGGCGAACAATAGAGGGGTATGAACAGGGAGTTTTAGTGGATCGTTCCAGAAACTCCGATGACGGCACCCGATACACCGCCGGCGCGTTTGCCCATGCATCGTGTATCTTCATTAGGTATCGTTATCGGATGTATCGGAACGATCTACTAGAGCTCCCCAATGAAGAAGCGAGACAAAGCAGTTCGTTCCGATACTCCCGATATCGATACGATGAATGCGTGAAGGCGACGGCGGAGTATCGTTGTCGGAAGTTATCGGAACGATCTACTAAAACTATCAGGGAGGCGTAGTATAGATCGTTCCGATGCCTCCGATAACGGTACCCAATAACCACACGATGCATGCGGAAAGGCGGCGGTGGAGTATCGTTATCGAAATGATCTACTAAAACTCACTACTAGGGAAGGTGTAGTATAGATCGTTCCGATTCCTCCAATAACGATACCCGATAATCACACGATGCATGCGCAAAGGTGTCGGCGGAGTAAAGGGTTTCCTTATCGGAGTCATCGGAACTATCTACTGAAACTCCCTATAAGGGAGGGGTAGTATAGATCGTTCCGATACCTCCAATGACGATACCCGATGACCACACGATGCATGCGCAAAGGTGTCGGCGGAGCACAGGGTTTCCTTATAGGAGTCATCGGAAAGATCTACTAAAATTTCCGACTGTTACGAAACGTTCGTAGTAAAAAAATAAATAAATAAAAGCGGCAAATATAGATTTCTGAGCCTGACAACAATTTCCACTACGATTGCTTTGGGAATCTAGCCGCCAAAGACAGGGGACAAACACGGGTGGTTATCATTTGAGCCCGTTCTCGTTTCGCCCTTCTCACTTGGCCCTTCTCAAAACAACCATTCTCAAAAAGATCTTCTCTTCTGGACCTGTCGCATTTGGTCCTTTCCCGTTTCGTCTTTCGCATTCCAGCTCTCCTCATTTGGGCCCGTTTCTCGTTTCGCCCTTTTCAAAACAGGCATTCTCAAAAATATCTCGCTTTGACCCGTCGCACTTGACTCTTTCTATACCAAAATCGTTTTTTTTTTTTTTTTTTTTTTTTTTTTGGGGGGGGGGGGGTAATATTAATATATTGATATAAGTTGTGTGTGTGTGCCACACTACAGGCATACTCTGCTAAGGATTTTAGCAGTGCGTCGAGGTCGCCGTGAAAAGCTACTAGCTGACAATAAAACAGACCAACTATTTATCGCAGCAAGATCATATTCCGAAATGTCAAGTTTTTGAGGTCTCTCGACTTGGGACATTGCCACCACTTCAATGATGCAGAGGTTTTCAAATGGGGGTCTGCGAAGGCATCCTAGGGGTCTCTGCGAAACCCTGTCTCATCAGTCAGGCACGGCAATATTAGTTGTCTTTTTTCACGTTGAGAAGAAACGTTTTAATTTTCGGGAGAGTACTCACGTCAGTATGTCAATGAGATAAGTCTACTGTACACTAGCAATTAGTTATATCCATTTATTAAATCATTATCATGATAACCTATACCTCAATATGCCCCTCACCCAGAACGGGGTCCTGCATCATCTCCGCCTTTCAGCAAGGCGTCCGCGAAACATCAATGGTTGAGAACCTCTGCAATTAAATATGCTATTTCTGTTCAAACAAAGTTTCCAAATTAAATGTTCATCGCTTTTTTTTTTCCTCTCGTTTGCTGAGAGGAAGGGAAGCAGGCGTCAATTTACGCTTCTCAGTGCGTACCTCTACACGTAGCATATGTCTGATGGTATGTTGGGTGCCCAAACAAGGCAAGGCTCATCAACAAAGCCGCGAAGGCATTACGACGTTAGAACCATGCCGAACTAGTGCCATTCGGTCGTAGCACGAACGGGCGAAATGAGAATGGGTCCAGTTGCGAAAAACACGATTCGGATCTTATGAGAAGGTTCAAACGAGAAGGACCAAATGAGAATGGGTCGAAATGTGCAAGGTTCAAATGCGAATGGGACGTTTTGAGATACACCCGGGACAAACCAGGGGTGAAGTCAGGGCAGCGGAAGCGATATCACTCGAAAGGGCAGCGACGGTTGAGCCGTGTCACAGTGATAAATATCCCGAGATTAAGATAAAGATTAACCGTCCGATTGCGCGGAAACAACAGAGGGTGCACACTGCACCGAGTGCAACGTTGCTAGAACTCGGTTGGGAAAGTGACATACAGCCGGCTTTGAAAAAGTGGCTCCGATCCGTACTCGGGAACCGAACTAAAGGCGATCGCAACGCCGCCATTTCTGCCGCAGCGGCCACTCCGGGAACTGCACAACTGCACGTATTGGTTCAGCTCGAGTCTCGCAAGGGCCGGTGGCGCCATCTCGCAGTAGCTATATAAACGAACTTTTATGTTTTGACTCGTCGCTAATGGGCGGCGCGGTTGTCGCATCCAGTTTGGTCTCGGCGGACGGGAATGGTCTGGGCTTCAAGGGCGAGTTTCCCAACTGAATGTTTTAGTAACGTTGACCGAATGCTCGCGGTGACGAAAAGTTTCGGTGGCATCCACCTACGGCCCCGTTGGAACATGTTCCAACGGTGCGCATAAAAAAAGGTGGAAGCTTGGAAGGAGGGCGTTCTTAGACCAACACTGTCGAAGTTGACACATTACAATTCGACCCATGTAAAGACACCACAGTGGGCGTTTTGCCTATAGTGGAGGACCGACCAGATCGACGCTCGTGGTCGCAAACGTCGCCAGTGCCGCGCCTCCAGCTCAGCAGAGCAGTCTGCTTCGTTGACAAATAAAAAAAACACACGACTTGAAGGGCTTCACGTCGCAATCACGTGGCCAGCGTAGAGAGCACAGGTGGCGACGACGATAGATGGAGCGAAGAGACCGTGACGTGACACAGGTGTCTGCCCAACATCCAGCAGGCGAAGGACAAAGTGAATGAAGCAAACCCAGAAAAGACGGCAAGGAGATCGTCACATCACGATCACGAATGTTATATAAGATGGCATCGACGTCATGGTCACGGCCAAAGAAATAAAGCCCAAAAAAAAACAAAAAACGAAGGAGATGGAGAGTGTGTTGTTATGGAGGGCTGTCCCGACATGTTCGACATCTAACAAACGCCGCAAGGGACGGATACGCGGGTCGAGGAGGAGGAGGAGAAAGAGAGAGATGATGTCGAAGTCCTGGTAAGTCAAAGTCATGGTCACGGCATCCAATGCAACAGGCACCGGAAGGTGAGGATGTGCACAGCAGAAAGAGGGGCGTCACAAAGCGGCCGTGACGTCACGCCCACGTGACCCGATTCACAACACATTGCAGGAAAGCTAGAATCGCGCAGATTTGGGGGGGGGGGGGGGGGGGGGAACGGAGAGAGAAATAAATAGAGGGATACGACGAGGAGGGGAGGCAGGATCTGCGCTTGGTCTGTTACATTGCGTCATCCATGTGTCCTAGCTATCACGCACCGCGACAGCTACTTTGGCTACAAAAGGAACTGGCGCCGTCCCGCCCTCCACTTCGCGACGAGGGCTTTGACAGCCAAAGTGAGGCACGCCGTAAGCACAAAAGAAAAAAATAAGAGAGAAGAAAATGGGGGGATCGGAGAATAATGGCGACGAAAATAATAAAAGACTCGCGGGGAGAGCGCTAGGGGCGGAGCAGCAAAAAAGACTGCGACGCCACACACCTTTGACGATGACCTTGGCTGCCTCGTTGTAGACCTTCTCCTGCGTCGCGTTCGGCTTGAACACCTTGTCGTACACGTAGACTTTGCCCTGGGTGGGGGAAAAAAGAGCACACATTGGGGTGCGGTCGTCGATACCCGAGCTACGGTGGTCCTCTCTTGTTCTCTAGGCAAAGGGACAAGGCCGTATTTCTGGAGAGGCAGCATATCTACCGAGGGCATACGGTTTCAATTACACTCAAGAACACCGCAGGGCCAATAAAAATATACAGGTAAGAAAAAAAATCAAGTTCAAAAGCTGACCTAAAAAAAATTATAGTTCCGAGCTTCTTATTATCACTTTTGCAGCCAATGATATTACAGTAGAAGACGATGAGGACGTCGAAGAACGAATCACCAAGCAAGAGCATTCTACGCTATGTACGGATAAAAATAACATTTGATGGCTGATGCCCAATGGCTTCGAGTGCAACAGACAGGACCTCCAAGGTCACGTCCAACGTCACACTGAACGGTCGATTTGCCCGTTGTATGCCCACCCGTTTTCTTTCTCAACAGCGTACACAAACAGCTACTACTGGCTCTTCGCTCAAAAAGGCGGCACACCCCAAATGAAAAGAAGCACGCCCAGAGACCTTATTAAAACTCGAAACGAGGGCGCGCAGACTGACACCCGAACACATCCTTCTGGGAAGAAAAAAAACAAAACAAAAAAACACTTCGTCCTATATGATGACTTACGTCAATCACTACAAGTAACAAAGCAAAAAAGAAGGAAGGAAAGGTGATGGATGAACCAGAGAAACAACGTCTTAGTAAGCTGTCTCAGCCTTCATGCCGCGCTTTGCGTTGTATTAATCGTGAACTGAACTCGATAATCGTGAAGTGAACTCCGGCGTTCCTCGAACGCGTTCGACAAGTGCAGTGGAGACAAAGGCTGCCTTTATCTCCAGTGTACTCGTAAAAGCGTTCGAAGGAGAAAACCAAACGGCGGACGCGGGCGTACCTCGTTCTAAAGACTCTGTTAAGGGTGATCTATCTACACACTTGCGGCGAGTCCGACCGCGTGCGACTGCAACAGCTTACGACGTACGCGTTGCTATAGGAACACCTGCGGCGGCTCCAACAAAACGGGGTAAAAACCGGTTTTGTCGGAGCCGACGCAGCTGTTGCCATAGCAACGCGTACGTCGCAAGCAGTTGCAGTCGTACTCGGTCCAGCTCGACGCTAGTGCACACTTGCGTAGGTAGACCTGAGATCTACTCACTAATCATTCGAAGCAGAGCTCGGCTCGTTTCCTCCTCCCCGTCAATTTCTCGGCGCATTAACTTTTCGTTCGATCGGGTCTCTCGCGTACGCCATCGTTTTCAGCTATATCGGAAGAGGAAGTGACGTCACGCCGGTGCGGCGGCGCTACTGTCCGCCCTGCGCATGGGCAGACGCTTCATCTCGGGCGAATCTGCTTTCTTCGCACGCGTAGCGCCCACACTGGGAGTGAGCGAACGCGCGCTTGTTCGTCAACAGCATGTTGGCGTAGGAATTGTGTCCTTCCCCAAAAATGTATAGTTTTTTTGTTTTCTTTTTCACTGCAAAAATAATTTACGCATTGCCGAACGCTCACTTCCTGCCCAAATGTAGCGCTAAAGGTCCGAACCAGATGCCCAAGTTTCAGAACAAACCGTTACTTTATTCGAGAGAAGGGACTCTAAAATTTTCGATGGAAAAATGGAGCCCGTATTCGACAACTGGCACCATTCAGTTACATGCCGGCCGCCGTTTTCCCATTAAAAAAACGTTTTTTTTTTATTATTTTAGTGGAGAAGGAAGACCAGCGAAGCTGTACTATGGTGGGAATGAAGTAATGTCCGGCCGCAAGTCGGCAAGCCAGAGTGGAAAGGCTCGAAAGGTTGCGGCCGTCGCTCATAGATGGCGGTAGCTGTCCAGAGTTTTGTGTAGAGATTTGTTTGCCCACGGACACGATACTGGGCAAACTAGCCCTTTACAGCTCCGCTGTAAAAACGCAACTTTCGAATAAGATAACCGTTTGTTCTGAAACTTTGCCACCTGGTTCGGACCGCTAGCGCTACATTGTGGCGGAGAATGAGAGTTCGGTAATGCGTAATTCATTTTCGGTGAAGAGAAAAAAAAAAAAAAAAAAAGCCTGTAAATTTTTTTAAGGGGACAGCCTGTATAACGGTCAGTAACGCGTTGGCACTTGGAGAGCGGTGGACCGGTGCACCGAGACTTATCTCCGGAGTTTGTTTCGCGCGTGTCGGTTATCCCGCCGTTTTTGCAGTCGCGCGCCAACTAGGGCGAGGTCAGTCCAGTCAAACGAGCGTCTCGAAAGGGCACGACCCAACCCAAAAGCGAAACAAACGAGCCCAAAGAAGGGCAGGCGCCTGTCCAGACGCCTTCTCGACCCCGAGACGTAATGAGCAGGGTCTGCAGCTCACATGCTGCGCGATGGAAAACCCGCTCAAAGTGTCGGAAGACCTCGAAAATTACAAAACACAACGTGCGCCAAAAACGGAAAGAAAAGCATGATGACGACGACGACGACGATGATGATGATAGTGATGACGCCGTTGATAATAATAATAATAAAGCTCGATTTTTGTTTGAGCAACACCCACTAACAGCAGCCTAGTTTCAGCTGTCCTCAGTTAGAAGAGGAACGCCCTCTAGTAAATTCTTACGACCACAAAAACAAACTGTCAAAACAATCCCCCCCCCCCCTTTTTTTTTCTAGAGACACGCTTGTTCAGCTGCGAATTGCACATTCAACGCACGCCTCCCTGGTTACATTTTTTTTTCTTCTTTTTCGGTTACTACCCAGTTATATCAGCGTCAATCGCTATTATTATTTTTTCCCCTTTTCTTGGTCTCGAATGAAGAAGCGATCATCGGATCGTTAAAGGGGCGCTCCGGAGTTCTTGTAAGCCACAACAACTAACTGCATTTTCGGAATCACCGGTCTTTGCCTTTTTTCGTTATGCTATTTAGTATCGCAAAATTGAGTATAGTTATTGCGAAAATGAAGTGAAAATGATGTCAAAAACAACATTCAAATATACCAGCACATTTCAGTGCCGTGACATCGGGGAAGGCAGGCTTGCGGGCCGAGCGGGAAGTCCAAACATGGACTATGCCGAGCATTTGTTTCGTGTTGGTGCGTGGGTGCTGAAGCGAGCTTCCAAAGCATTCATTTGGATTCATTTGGCACCGTGAAACAGCTCGTAGTCAATTGGGAACAAAGTCTACAGACAAAAGAGTGAACCCCCGTCTTGCGGTGACGTCATTTTTTCATTGTTGCCGGAGAGATATTCACTTTGAAAAACACGGTAAGGACCGAAATTCCAAATTCGATAACTTCACACGAAAAACAACAACAACATTATTTTGGCCCAATATTTGGGTAACTATTCAGCGACGTTTGTTGGTGTGTTCGGCAAATTGTCAGGCAAATCGAAGATCACGAAGAAAACGCCGGAGTACCCCCTTAAAGGGGTACTGACACCCCAAAGGCCGTATTTTTTTTATTGTCTAAAAGGATACAAGTTGTAGTCATAGACATGCAAAAAAAAAACGCATCGCGAAAAAAATTTTTTTTTTGCGCGCGCCTGTTTATTATTGGCGTTTATATCTCCCGCCGCTCACCTCCTTGCTTCTTTGGATCGGTGACGTCAAAAATCAGGAAATTTAGAAGCTTTCTAGGCGACATTTTTATTAGCGGCGAGATGTTTCGGTGGCGCCCTGGTTTAGTAACCTTTCGTGAAGTCATTACCTTGTGAACAACAAGTTGAATGGTGTGTGTAAGGAGCAGGAGGAAGCCTGAAATCATAGCGCTCTCGAAGCAACATTGTCAAGACCGTCAAAATTGAAGCTCTTACATTCCTCTTATTTCCGTCGATGAGACATCCTTTGCTGACGTCATGTCAGCATTCGGCCAATTGTGGTGGGCCGACCACAGCGACGCTTTCGATCGCTCACGTCGCCAGTAACATTTAATAACGGCAATCGTAAAACAGGTTTTTTAACGCAATTGCGAACGCACGGCCCCTCTTTTTGAAATACCAAAAATCAGAGTCCGGTGTGATGTCGCTTCCTGGATTTGTATCCTCCCCCGGAAAACTTGGCGGCGCTCGAGCAGAGGATGATCGGCGAGTCGGGGAAGAAACCGTTCTTTTCCCGCGCCGGCGCCCTTCTATGCCGCCTGCTCACCTCCTCCTCGCTTCGGGTCGCGGTGGCAACGGCGCTTTGCTTCGTAACGTGGAGCGGAGGTCCGAAAGAAAGTCGAGTCGCAGGAGACCGCAAAATTCGACTCTCTGCACTGGCGCGGATCGCGCGGGAAGTTCAAATTCGGCGTTTAAAAATTTATATATATATTTTTTTTTTAGTTCACAAGTACTGAATTCTTAAGTTTCGAATTTTGAGAGTAATGTCCCGGCATCGTTTTCTATCGTTTCGGATAAAAAAAAAAAAAAGATTTTGATGTGTCAGTGCCCCTTTAAGTCCAGCATGGTCATTAAAAAACCTCCAGGGCCCGATATATATATATATATATATATTGCTACGAGGAAGAAGACGACGGGCTGTCTCGGCGCCACGGACTCGAGCGAGGGGCTCGCGCCGGTGGCGGTCAGTTTGGAATTAAAAAGCCGAACCGCAAACAATCGTCTCCTTGCTTGGACCCGGAACAACGCAACATACTTGGTGGAGGTTGGTCCTTCCTCGCACCTCTGCTGCCATCACGTTACTTCGCAGCAACCGCCAACTACCACCGGCCGGAATGGCCGGTGGTAGCTACAAATCTGGAAAGAAGCATGAAGCCCCCGACTGCCTGTCTCGGAATCCAGTTGATGCTTGCCCCGAAAACCATGGAGCCCTCGCCGCCGCAGTGTCCCTAACGGCGTCCGTTGATTTCGGTACCGAACAGCAGAAGGACCCAAAACTACAGAGGATTATTGCTACTCTTCAAAACCCTAACCTAACCCAGAAGGACAAACGAGGAACCCGCCTTTATGAATTTCAGAATAACATACTGTATCGCCGAAACTATAATCCACACGGTCCTGATCTCCTGTTCGTCGT